ACTCAATTTTTTATCCTCAGTGAATCAATCCTGTTTATGAACAAGTGTGCCTATGTCACAGAGATATATATATAATTCAGTCACAAAAGGCTGGTACATTTTAAAGGTTTCCAAACTGATTTATACATAGCCAATGCATATTCTGAGTTTTGTGATGAATAATGCTTCAGTTCCTGCTTTTTCATTCTTACAGTGTACTTCACCTATTTGTATATGATTGCTTGAAAATCACAAGGTTACAGCTACTTTAAATCACACTTTTACCCCTGTTTCTTTTCTGTCTCTCTATAAATTACTAACTAGTGTACTGTCATCAGCTCTGACAAGAAGCCATAAAATCTCTTCCCCCAGCAATTTTAAAACTTCCACCAGCAGTTCTTTGAAATTTGTGCTTTATGTGGTGCTTTTCTCAGTCTAGAAAAGAACTAACTTTGATGGAAATATGTAGAAATTAAGCTGAAATATTTTAGCAATACAGCTTTATTTAATGTAGAGTTGAAATAATAAAAAAATGAAAGTCGTTTTTTCTTTCCTTGCCTTTCTGAACATGCACACAGCTGGTACGTTTGCATAATGGTCATGCTAATTGAAAGAAATAACTTCATCAACATACCCAAGGTCCAAATATTGTAAAATATCGATATATTAATTTTACAGTTTTATAGAAAAGGGTAAAGAGATTTAACCAGTGCCAAGGATACACTCTTCAGTACAATAAAGTTCCTCTAGATGGAAACACTTCAGAATAGAAGGAATAAGTGGAAGTACAACAGTTTAAAACACATGCCATGGAAAGGCATCAATGCTGGAAGAGTTTTGAGGGAAACATTTCATTTTGCCCAGATTCAGCTATCAACTAAAAAATTAAAAATCACAGAAATAGATACTTTTACTATGAGCCATATGAGCCATCTAATAAAACCCAATGCCAAGCAGCTGTGCTAGAGTCCTTGGGTTTATATGTATGCTGTGAGCTATATATAACAGCTTTGGAATTCTTCTGGAAGCCCTGCACAACAAAATTTTTCTCTAAATCCCATTTATATTTAGTCATTATCTCAAAAAAAAAAAAAAAAATCTTTCCAAAGTACATGGATAGCTTCTCTGCTTTAAGGACTTTTCCCTTCAGCCCAAGCTTTTATGTAGCTTTCAGATATGTTAGATATTACAAAGGTGGTCACAGATTGATTTTTCTTGACTTTCCTTGACTTTTCTTGTTCTGAAATAGAAATTTAAGTGACTAACTTAATAAACATGATCAGTGACTGTCTTCATAATGTTTCCATCTTACTTCATGTAACTTCATGTAACATTTCACAGGATTATTAGTTAATTAGTTAAATAGTTAACCAATAATTTTGATCTCTGCTAACTTCAATTCATGGGTTCATCCTTGTTCCAGGTGGCATTCTCCCACAGGTGATGATCCCTCAGTACCTGACTGACAAAGTGGATAACATCAGAAAGAAAAATAAAATATAGACGTCAGCCTTCAGAACCTTTTTAACTTAGAGATGTGAGTTTTTAAAATATTATCAATGAATCTTCATGTAGATTCCTAGAAGTGCATTGTTGATGAGGTGGCATTTTAAAAAGAGGTATTTTTATTTGAAAATATTTTCCCAACAAAAATCTATTCCTCAGCATTTTGATTTCTATAGGTGTGTTCTGCGAATACCTTGAGACTAAAAATGGTGGATTTAACGAGAAAAAGGAGAAGCAAGAGAAAAGTGGTAAAATGAATCTGTAGGATGAAGAAATATGATGAAGGGCTGCCTACAGTGGGTGTTGGAGTAGAAGGAAATCTCTGTGTTTGCACCAGTAGCCTGTGCTACTACACCTAGATGTTTTAAGTGTGAATGAAATGAGAAAGGATTGATGCCACAGCCAGGCAGCTGTGGAACTACCCACCTCTTTATATGCCTTTAAATGCCTTTGAAATTTTGGCAGTTTTACTGTGAGATTGACAACACTAATAAATTTGATAGTGCATAAAGCAAACAAAAAGGGAAAATTTTCTTAACTTGAAAACTTACTGAATGCTGGTTTTTATTAATGATAAAAAGGAGCTTGCTTAAAGGTAGGTTCCTTGTGAAGTCTTTGTAATGCTTTAATTTCTTTCTTATGAACACTGCCTTAGAATTTCAAGGAATAATTACATCTAACAGAACTTTAGCTCACTTCAATGATACAATGAATTCGGAGATAAGCTAACTATATTCCAGTCTTCCAGATATTTCCTTCTATTTAGTTGTGTAGGTTCAAACGTGGCATACTTTTTGAAACATGATTTTGAAACAGTCTTGACATAGATTAGCTGGTAAGGCTTCCAGAACATGCGAAATTGTTGTGAACACTGCCATTTCAGAGCAGATTTGTATTTGTGCTTAAGCATTGCCTATATTGGTTTTTGACAGAAATTACTAAATTTCTACTTGAAAAAAAGTGACTGTTCCTGTCATGTTGAACTCCACCAAATCATATTGTGAAATCTTAACAGACCGAATATTTACCACATATTTGTTCTTTTTCATTACTTTAAATATTGTCCCTGCATGTTCTGGTGGGCAAACAGGAACACGCGTGGAAAGCGATGTTTATGAACGGGAGGTTATTCAATGAGAGTGTTCATGCTCCTGATGAGGAGGAAGATTTGCTGTCCGCTGTTTCCTCCCTGTGGCGGCTCTCTGCCCCTCCTCCCTGCCCGAGGGCAGGCTCCAGGTGAGCCCCAGCCCAGCCCGCTGCCACGGCCGCTGCTGCAGAAAGAGGTGGGGCTGCACAGCTCCTCCACCCTTCGGCGACCTGAGTTCGGCTGCTGCTGCCGCCTTGCCAGTGGCAGAGGCGTCCCTGTGCACTGTCACCTCGGCATCCTCGCAGCATCCAGCAGCTGCCAGGCACTCGCAGCCCTCTCATGAATATCTTTCTTTATCTCCAAGTGGCTGACTTCTCTTTTTCAAGGTTATTGTTTTCCATCTCCTCGCTTAAATACTGTAAGTACAACTTCTGCAGTGGCTCTTTAGTTACTGCCTTTGTGAAATTCCTCTCTCTTGTAGTGAATAGTGGGAGGTACTAGTTCAAAGTCTCCGAGGTTTGTTGTGTCTCTGCTCCTGTTTTTGCTGTTCAAATGGGCCTTTAGCATTTTAGGTTTTAGCTGGATTAAAACATGAAATCGGAACAACTCAAAATGTTGGTGGTTTCCTGGCTCCCGTTTTCCTACTTTGTAGGAAATTGCCAATGTGTCCTTTCTCTGAATGCTGGTGCCTAGTGAAGTGGAAGTGAGAAGAGATGCATTTCCATCCCTACTTGTTGGCTGGAACCAGTTTTCTAGGAACCCAAAGAAGATAAACTAATGCATGTTGATAAGCTCTCAGGATGCTGAGGCAGGTAATCCTGCTGCCTGCTGAGATGCAGCTGGCCCAGGGTTTTAGGAAGGAGCTAGGCTGGAGGGTATCTGTCTGGCTCAGTTCCTTGGGTTCTGAAGCTGAAGTAAAGGAATACAGGACCTCAGGTGGCTGCAGCAGTATGATTACACATTCAAACTAAAAATCATCCCAGAACCCTGAGGCCACAGTAAAAAGGCTTATTTCAAGCTGTCCTGGTTCCTGACCTAGTTTGGTGTGACTGTGAACACCATGGTGTCACCCCAACTCTGTATTTTTACAGACATTCCACATAAATGTTGTATGATCTATGGATTATTTTCTCTTTAAATGCATCACTGGGAGTTGCAGAAAGGATGTCAGTGTGTTAGCACTTTGAAGATATTAACAGACTAACTTTTAATACTGACAGTGCCCAGAGATATTTTGAGTGGAATAGCTCACTTGCAATCCTGGCCAAGTTCCCAGCAAAATTTTCACAGCTGCCCAAAATATTGTCTTTTTTTCTGGACAAAACCTCACATCATTTTCATAGTTGTATTTTACACTCTGAATTGGAAACTATGGGAATAAGCATGGCACCAACTACTTAAAATGGAATTGATTTAGGATACCAAATTAAGGGGCACTGTCTGAAAGTTTTAACTGTCTTCTTTTTCTTCAGACTTCTTCCTATGTTTGTCTTTTTTGGTTTCTGATTGGTTTCCTCTTTATGTTTATTCTCCTGTTCCACTGCACTTTATCTTGATAGAAAGGGGTGATAAAAAAAAATTTTCAGGTGTTTTAGTGCTGTTCTGTCTAAACTTGATTCAAGGATATGGAATACACATCATAGGAAGACTGCATTTTTTCCCAGGGGGAATCTCTGTAAAGAACACATATTCTGTAGCATTTGAAGTTCTCATTATGCCTCCTGTTTTATTGCTCTTTCCATCTCCAATTCTCCAGATACTTTCTCTGTTTTGCATATATACTAGAAATAATAACGCCAAAATCTTACTTAATTTTCTAATATAAGCCAGAAAGGAATTTTCTCTCTTCTAGTCTTGTGAGCAACAGCTGCTGAATGAGTTCATAACATGCCTGTACTCACCCAATACACTGTACAGTCTGATTTACCATTCCTTCATTACCAACTTTCTGAGTCAGACTTTCCATGAAAGACTGGCTGTTTATAATTGTTATTTGTTTGCAGTAACTTAATATAGCATACCACTAGGAGTCTTTAAGCATCTGCTATTAACCTGATTTTACTGACAATCCAAGCACAGGCGGTTAAGGGAAGAAGTACTGGTTTCAAGGAACAGTTCTGACATTGGCTATGGTCATGTTAAAATTTTTGCTTTGGGTGTTCATATTCTAAATGGCATTAACAATTTCTAGGTGCAAACCTAGCTTCCAGCATTCGGGTTCACTGACTGGTATTTATTCCATTATTTTTGGAAAAAAAGTATTACTCTGACTATATGTATAAATTATCTCTTGGGGTACCCATGAGAGTTATGTGACAATGAACTATATAACATTAGAATCAATGTGATTTTATACACTTCTTTTCAGGTATCTTCTTGAAGTATGGAATTTGTATGGAAACAATGGTGGTATCTTCAGTTGGGCTGTATGTTGATAGTGCATTTGGTTTATGCCAATCTAGAGTATCAAAAAGAAACTCCTCCAAGCCTGCGTGAGATTGACCATCAGTGCTGGGAGGTATCATCCCATGGGTTGATGGAAATGAAGAAACTCAAGGTAGCAGATACAGTCATTGCTCTCTGGGACTTCATGATGTTCTTAAAGGAATCCCCTAAGCCCAAGCACAATGAACTCTTCAATGACTTAGCCCAGAACTTCTGGGATATGTATGTAGACTGTGTGCTCTCAAGATCCCATGGAATGGGCAGAAGACAATTAACATCTCCCAAATATTCTTCCACATACTCATACAGAACTTTAGAAGGTAACTATAGTTATAAGATATGGTACTAAAATTAACTGAACCAATGCTCCATCTTTACCCTTCATTGTTTAGACAACTCAATATACTAATTTCCAATTTTCTGACACTACTTGTCAAAAGTGTTTGCATCTTTCAATGGTAGCTACTTTCACAATACACAAAACACTGGTAGTTAGACTACTGCATTTCTATATTTAACAAGGTGTAAAAAATACTGAGTATGCATGTGGAAGTGTGTGGAAATGGATGCTGCATTCTCTGTTTATTACTGTGTACATATAAATGACAATCCATTGATAAGTAATTATAATACTGAAAGTTTCCTGGTATTAGAAGATCAGTCACAGCTTGGGGGAATCATTGTTCTGCAGAAGGGAACCTCAGATCCCTGACAGTTTGAGCCCTATTCCTTCTAGTGAAACATACATATCATGTGATGTCATGGTCATTTTGAATCACTAAACAGTGACAGGTTCTGGTCATCATGATCAGATTTGAGTCTGAAGTGAGATCATGTAGGTGACTTTACATCTTACTAATCAGTCCTGGATCTGTTTCCCCCGTTCCTCCTTAGCAATAGGTTTTTTTCTGATGTATGTGTCAGATGATTCAGGTTCTTGGAATGAACATGAATATTATTTAATCATAGCATTTCTAATACATTGCTTCGACAATAACTACTTGTCTTTCATAATCTTGCAGGGTCTGCTTTCATCAACCCATTTTAGACCAAAAGGGGAGAAAATGAAGATACTTATGGCAACATCAAAACGAAGGAGCACAAAATCACAATATGTATTGTAGATGTTTGGACAAATCCTTTGGCATGGTTCAATCATTTTTATTTCCTTTTCTTTTTGTATAAAGTACTTAATCACTCCTAAACTGATAAGTACATGAACCCTGACACTGTCACTTTTGCTTTTCTGTCTTGCAGTCTACTAAGCTTGCCTTTTCCTCACTCCATGTGTGAATGTTTTCTGAGTCAACACCTTTGTTCTCCCACATAAACTTTAAAGTCTGGATGTATCACATTTTTGTAGTCTTGTCTTTTCCAATAATTCTCTTTTAAAAAGTTAATTTTTCATGGAAGCCCAATATATTTTTATACATTATGCAAAAAAGACAAGGTAAACAAATTTATTTTATATAATAATTAGAAATAAATATTAATCTTAAGAACTAAAAAAAAAAAAAAAAGAAAAAAAGAAAGGGGTGAGACATTAAACTAAAGGGAAGGATTATGCTCATTGTAATGTCCTGTGCAGTCTAGGCTTTGTATTTTACCATTGCTTAGTCTAAGTTATGGATTAATTAAAGTATTTTTCTAAGCAGCAATGTCTGAAGAGCAGTAGTTTTCTTACCTATTAACATGTTATTTGATAAGCCACTACTATGTGACATGCTTGACACAAGACTGCAGGTAAGGTGATGCAGTCCATCCCCGTCATTGCAGGCAACATTGCAACTGAGATGGGACCCGTGCTCCAAGTGGTTCAAAAGAGGGACAGGCTGACTCGACTGCTGCTCTCAGTATAAACCACTGAGCATGGATAAAATAATTCAAGGAGGTTAACTCCCAATTCTTCTGAGCATAAAAAAACCTGAGAAATGCTGACTGTTCTCTGCTGTACTCTTCGGGCTATGCAGCTTGTTCAGTCCCTGTTGTGTTTTAGCCTTTTATGAGATTACAGGTGATTTTAATTATTTTAGGAAATAGTACTCATGCTGTTACAGCATATAAACCTTCATAAGGAACAAGAAATCCATCCCACATAATGCCTAGCCCATGTATAGTTTGTAAACTATCCAACAAGTCTCATAGATTTGTAAATGTTCATTAAGGTAAACACAATTCTGAACTGCATCTTCTAAAATATATCTCCTACAGTATTGTGGAGAGGGTACAAAAGTAGTGAGAGAGTTTTCTGACCCAGGAACATCACTTTAAGTTCCTGACAGAAATAACATTTTTGAGCAAGCGGAGTTATTACACACGCAAACAAAGCGACTTCAGGAATCGATACATTATGATGAGCAGCAGTTGGAGAGCCATTATCTAACCTGCCCCAGCAATATCTAGTTTATAAAACTGTGTCCTGCACTGCATTTGCAACAGAAGTCTTAATTGGCATAAATAATATAAAAAAGCCCCTTGTTCACCTACATTGATCACCTACAGAAGTATTTAAGTACAATAACATTACAAAAGGATTGTTTCCTCTATTAGTGTAGTGATCTTTTCATTGAATGCCAGAGCAAGGTATCCTATGCAGTTTTAAAGGCTTCATTCTTCTTCAGGCAGTAAGTCTGTTTTAATAAGTTTTTTATAAGACACAAAAGTGCTTAGCATCCACCATAATTGTTTCCAGAATGTTTGAACAATCAATTGCTATGGTCACCCTGTGGTGTCTGCCAACAGGTACACAGCAGCAGCGGCAAAACAAATTCCAGGTGGAAATGCTATGGTGTACATCTATGAGAGCTGTGGAAAGCTGACTACTCATGAGATGTCAGCATGAGGGTCTAACAGTGAATGGGATTATTTTTTCTTCCACTGCTACCCCCTATTTTTCCATCCCTGGGTTACAGCAGGGACAGCAAGCCCAGCTTCTTGGGTGTTGTATGTTGCCCCCTGCAACAGCCAAACTATGGTCCATGGCTGTCTGGCAAAATCAAATGCTGTTTGTGCTGCTATGAGCCTTGTGTTTGTACTGATTTATGAAGGATAAATATAAGTATTTGGGGAAATTCTGTCCCCTTCATTCTGCAGTCATTATTAACATTAATGCCTAATTAACAAGAGCATTTGCATTTGCAGCTGCTCATTTTCAGTCAGGGTGTCTGTAGAAGAAACAATACAGTTGTGGGAGAATGCCAGGAGGCTCACTTTGTGACTGATTTAAAGTTTTTGCATAAGCAAAACTGATTTCCAGTTAATGGTTCTTTTCCCATACTTTGGCTCCAGTGTATTGCTGTAGCTTTTGCTCAGAAATTGGAAGGACTTACATAAGTCCTAGACAGTTTTTTATGGGCTTTGCCTTGCTGCCTCTAGTAATAAGTCGCCTACACATTCACACATGTGTATGTAAAAAAGCATGTAAAAACCCCTCCAAACGCCATAGCTTTTGGTCTCCTAGTAAAATATATATAGTTTGGTTTTAATTATAAAAAGACAACAGACCATACATTCTCTAAACCAGTAGTAAAGCAGCAAGGCTGCTGCAGAGCTGTCAGAGAAATATAAACATAAAAAACTGAGCAAGACTACTTGACACAGAGGACTTCAGAGAATCTTTATATACCTTGGCTAACCTTTCTTGTGGGGAGGCAAGAAATACAAATAGGCTAGTTCAATAAAACAAACTTTATACAGAGAGTCTTGGGAAAATATTGCAATTAAATTAGATTATTGTTAAAAATTATCAGTCAGCAAAGGGTCACCATAAAAAGTTAAATTAGCACAACTCAATTTAATTTCTCTATCTTTAAGTACTAGATGACTTTCCTGTTCTACAATGTGATGACTGTCTTACTCAACAAGGGTGTAACAGACCTGCCCATATGAAAAATCCTTCTGATATTTGGAAAACACACATATAGAGATTTTTCTAAACTTCAAATACTGTTTTTTGTATGTATATTTTATTTTATTTTGTTATTTTCTTAGGGTTCTTCTTTTTATAGAATCTAGGTAGTCAATTTTGAAACAAAACTATTTGCCTTTATTTTTAATGCCACCACTTCTATGTTTGTTTTGTTATGTAACAAACATTTTGAAGATACACTTATACACACACCTATCCCATCCCTCTTTCATGAAGTAAAAAAAGTGAGCTGGAGTAGGTTTTGCTCAAATTTATTTCCTTTTTTTCAAGTTGGCCATTAAAAAAACAGAAGTTTGTGCTTTTCTCAAGATGTTGCTGGCAGGCAAAAAGACAGGCTAAGTGCCAGTCTGTATGTCACAGCATAAAAGCTTGCAATGTCACAGAAATTCATGCCATAGCAGTGGACAGCAAGTGGTTTTAAAATGAAGAGCCTCAGGGAGTCTTGCGCTGTTATAGCAGTGAATTCTGGCATTGACCAAATTGAAAAAGAAAACAGCTCAGAAGTTGAGTCATCTACACAAAAGGTCTGCTACTCACCAGTTCATGTGGGCATTCTGGAGGTGCCAAGGAGGAAGAAGATGAGTTCTCTTTGGAGACAATGGGAATAAGAGCCCAACAATTATTAGATTAGTAAGATCAGTTAAAGAGCTGTGAGCAACCCAAATGGAGAAGGATGTTCCAGAAGGCCTCTCCAACAGGCTGTGAGAAACTGTTGGCACAAAAAAGCTCCTTAATGAGTGTTTAGATGAAAACTGGGATTCAAAAGTCCTGATGCTAAAAGTGGCAATTCAAGAAACAAAATGGGCTTGGACAAACAGTATGTGGGTATGGTATTCAGGAAAATGAAGACTCAAATGTGTTAATGTGAAGATTTGTCTCCCTGTTCAATGAGATGCCTAAACTGCAATGTATGGGAAGTGTCAGGAAGAGATGGAAATTAAAACAGTGGACCTGCTGACAGCGGATATTAGCACGCAAAGTCACTAGACTAACATACCTTTGTCCCATACTGTACAGGGGACTTTATTAATAAAACATCCCCACATTATATTAATTAAGGGAAGACATAATATTACTCTTGATGTTCTAAGCAATTTTTCAAGCCATTAAAAACATATTTTATCTTGTGTCTACATATAGGTAACTACATATTAATATATTACTCTTTGGAACAGCATCTATTCTACAGGTACTGATTTTTTCTTGACTGAGTCCAGTGTTTTATCTCTTTTGATAATTTCTTAAGGCTCCTTTACAAACAGAGGACTTTCTAGGAGCATGGTCTGTATCAGCCAGCGGCTCTTGCTGACGAGGCACACTTTTCACAGTAACAAAGCGACCCGGTCCGATCTGAAATACAAAATAAATACATTGCTTGACTTTCATTCTAGTATTTAAAATGACAGGAGAGTTAAATCATGTAAATAGTATTCAGTTGGTGGAGATGCCTGTTGAGGTTTCTGAGGGCCAGTAAAACTATCCTTTATACTAAATTCACAATTTGTTCCCATTGATACAAAAGAAAGGAGAGAGTGTTTTTTCAGCTGGTACTTTTACATGCTCTGCTTTTCTGCCTTCGTGTCTGATTTATGAATTGCAAAAAAGAAATTCAATACTTTATCCAATAGAAGTTTGCTGTCCAATGTTATTTGGATTTGTATAGGATGTCAGCCACACTTTGTGACCTCAGGATTTCACTATACATTATTACTTATTACTCCAAGTAAGGAAAAAAACCCAAAAAACCAAAAAACAACAGGCATTCTTTCTCTCAAAATGCAATTGCATAGAACTACTGCTCCAGGAAATCTCCAAGACTGAAAGACACATACCCTTTCCAGATTCATTACTACCTTTATACTGAATAAGTTGGGGTCTTGGAATAAACATCCCTGAGTGACAGCTCTGTCTTCTAATCATGACCTACTAAAAAAAACAAATGCAACTCCTTGAGTGCATGTGGCTCACATGTTTGATTACTTGATCTTGACTGGTTTGCAATAACCATCTTAGCTTAATCTTCATCTCTCCCTGCTGAGAGTGTTTGGCAGAGAGGAGGGGAGAAGATTGTTGCATTAAAAAATTTTCCAGCCATGTCTGTAATTTGTAATTCTACTAAGCAATGTACCTGAGGAGTGTTATATGGATGTTGCAGATACATTTGTTTTCTCAATACACCTATTCTGCAAAATGGACTAACCTTTTCCTTGTTTTTAGCTACAGTTATTGAAATATTGATTGTAGGAGCATGAAGGTATTTTCTTGTTAAACCCTCTCCCTCTAAGATATGAACATGCTTAACTTGAGGTTCAAGCCTTTAAAATAAAATCTGACAATATATTTTTATCCACTAACAATTTCCATATTACTCATGCTTATAGCAAAATTTTTTTGATACTTTCTGCAAAATACTGCTTTTTAACAGTCTCGCTATTGTTTATGCAAGTACCTAAATAATTGTTCCAGCCCACTTCATCTTGCATTCACAGATGTGTCCCTCCATATCCTTCTGAAGTTTAAGATAATATGGGAAAAATTCTAGTCCAGCACTCTAAGATAATCCTCTTGCTTCCTATTAGGCTCCTTGCTTCTCCATCATATCAAACATGAACTTCCTCTTTTCTTTTTCAAGTTGCATCCACCTTGCTTGTCATTATTATTCATGCCAGAGAGCCCAAAATAGAATTTCTTGCCTTCATACAAGTTTGAAAACAGCACCTCATGTTTATTTCTTTTAGTTTTTCCTCACATGTAAGAGTAACTTACAAGCAACAAAGAAACTATCCCCCTTAAATCCTCCTTAGCTGTGATGCTTGCACAGAAACAATCCAGTTAGCTCAAACACAGTTTATTGGATAGACTGAGGATTCCCCTGTTTTGTCAAAACTCAACACCTAAATATGCCGTTAGGTGTGAATTAGATCTTAACAAAGGCTTTTTATTTTCTCACACTTCAATTAACCGATATAAATGAGACAAGTGGCACATCTGCAGGCAGCCAGGGACATGCTACTCATAAAGGACACCTCTATGGATGTATCAAAGATTGCACAGCTGTACTCAACAATGAAAGGAGCAGGGCTTGACCTCAGCAAGGTTTTCATGAATGGCTGTCTCATGACAGGTACATGTTACATAGCATAGGGCCCATCCTACCCACACTTTTTCAGTCATCTGCAGATCTGAATCTCATTCTGGCCAAGCTTGCCTAAGGCTATGTCCGAACAGGAAGTGGAGATTTGCAGAAGATACAGATTCTTTCTTATGTACTTGGAGCTTGTCAACATAAACATTATTAAAGAAAGCATAAGCAGCAGCATGTGTACAGCCAGAACAAAACCCATTCCACTTACCAATTAGTAAAAATAAAAGTATTATTAAGGATTACTTACTGTTGTATGGAGTTTTGGAATATCAATAGCATGTTCTGGTCCATTTTGAGTATTTAGCTTAGATGTGGAAGTCTCTATTAATGTTTCCTGAAGCATTTTTGCTTTCTAAAGATAGTCAGAGAAAGGTAAAATCGTTTTAATCTGCATTAATCATGTCATTTGCACTCATTTGAAAATATAAAAAAAACATGACAAAGTAAATGAAGTTATAATTCTATTTGCCTTTAATTCTAAGTATCCTCCCCGTTTTTTGACTCTTTCATGTACTGAACACCTAAAACCAGAATAAATGGGCGTAGCACTGCAAGGGTGGGAAGGGAATTGCTGCTTGCTGTGACCTGCGGGCTGTGTTCTGTGCAAGGCAGCCCTTGGTGCTGTGAGCCTCCATGGCCACAAGAGCACACTGCTGTCTCACGGTCAGCTTTCACCCCACCCAGCACACAGCCGCCTCTCCGGGCAGACCCAGCTGTACTGAGGCATCCCAACACAATCTCAATACATCCCAGGTGAATGACTTCACATTTTCTTTTTCTGAAATTCATGAGCTTTTGGTCAGCTCATCTGTCAAGCTTCTGACTAGCAACCCTACCTCCCAGCATATGGATTGCTTCCTCCAGCTCAGTGTCACAGAACTGCAGAGTCACAGAATGATTTGGATTGGAAGGGACCTTAAAGTTTATCTGGCTCCAACTCCCATGCCATGGTCAGGGACACCAGACCAGATTGCTCAGAGGCCCATCCAGCCTGGCTTTAAACATTTCCAGGGATGGGGCATTCACATGTTGAACTTGATGAGGATGGATATTGATTCAATATCCAAATCACTAATGAAAATATTAAATCAATACTATATTGTCAACCCTATAATTAACTCTGAGGAGTATCACTCAAAACTGACCACTAGTTAAAATTCAATCACTGACCACTGTCCTTTAGAGCCCATCAGTCCAGCCAGTTTTTCCCACAGCCTGCAGTCGACCTGTATGTAATCTAGTCCATTTTGACTACAAGACTACAAGAATGATACACAGGACCACATTGAAAACCTTGCTAAAACCAAGGGTATAGGCATCCCCTTTCCTCTTCTTCCAGAACAAATAATTTTATCGCAGAAGACAACTATGTTGGCAAGGCATGATTTATCCTTGGTAAATTCATGACAGTCTATACCAATCTCTTTCCTTCTCATGTGCTGAAAACAGCTTCCCAGTGTCTCAGTTTAAACTAACGAGTCTATAGTTCTTCCATTTTAATTTCTAATTCTAGCATACATCTTTCCACAGGCCAGGGAGATGCTGGCATAGAAAGAAAATTGTTCTCATTTACAAGTCTTTTGGGAAATGAAGAAAAATTAAATTTAGCTTCCAAAGTTTTTCTTTTAAGTCTGATTTCATTCATTTTCCAACTTAGTCTGGTTACCAAACCAGGACTCTAGTATTTCTATGTTTTGGGAAAGTACAAATATTGATAGAAGAAACTCCTTTCATTATAAAATATTTCTCATCTTGAAAGATGTTTGCTGTATTAAAAAAGAGAATGAAGAATTAGAAAAAACAATGAAAAGAATGAACAGATTTGTAGTTTCAACAGTTTTGGAAGAAATACACATATATACATCCACTCCTCAATTGCAATTGATCCCAAATTTGTGATTGTAGTCAGAAGAATCAAAATAGTATAACTTTTCCAATACATCTTATGGTTATTTCTTCTGTGTCTGTGTAAATATAAAATTTACTATCACTTCTACCTGAATATCCTTATAATTCATTAAGATTTTTTTTTTGAACTTCACAATTATTATAAGTACACCGTGACTGTAAATTTTTTGCTCCATCAGGTTTCTTACCTTCAATGCCTCATAGTTTGATGTCCGAGACAAGAAATTTTCCCAAGATTTATTTATCAGTTCTCTCTGTGTGTGGGTATCTTGGATCTGTCATATAAATTACACAATGCTGGTATTAGAGCTCTTCTGATTTCATTGCTTGTGCCATTTGAAAAAAATGTTCAACTCCACCCCTTTGGCTACATTAGCTCATCCCTCTCACCTTGGAGATTGGACAACAGTGTAGTAAAGTACTTGCCCTTTAAAAACTGTATTTATGCACTGCACTTACAGACAAAGAGGGTTTTGTGCAAACTAATTTTTCTCTCTTCCAACATGTATGTTGGATGAAGCCCAGCTCTTTCAGGAATACTTTCTGTATATTCTTACTCTCAAATGCTGAATAAAAGAGATAGAATCAGTTCAGGTGACAGAAGTGCAGTCATCATAATACAGGACAATCTCTCAAAAACACTAGCATGACATTTCAGACAACTGGTCCAGCTGGTCTTGTTTTTCAGAAAGCAGGAGAGGGTGAGACAACAGATGAGCAAAACCATTAAATGTCTGCCTTATAACCAAAGCTGGAAAATGTCTATACCTTCTCATTCTCAACATGCTGGGAAGCACAAAGCCCTACTTTCTGAAGTAGTAAAGGCCCATGAATATTCAGAAAGGGAGCTTACAATAGAGACTTATATCACATTTTAAGAAGCAGGTGTAGTAGTAATAGTTGTAAAAACTTTGTATTGTTATCTGCTACAGATGAACATGGATGCAACTTTATAGTAAAATAATGATAATTTCTCATTACTCCATTGCTGATGCATCACTGATGATACTGCTTCATTTTTTCATATTGCTCTCTAAATATTGTAGAATTTATAGAAGCTGGCAGGATTGAGGTTAACCTAATTTAAAGTTAAAATCTGGCTGCTGAGACAGATTAAAACTTTTCAAGCAGTGTTCACATACAGAATTCTCAACATTATATAATAGGAAAATCTGCATATGAATGGAAAAAAAAGCTTAGGTGGGCTTTCCTTATTTAAATACTCCTTTGTCTTACTTTCTTGTAAATTTTTTTCTCTTCTTGGATTTCCTGGTGGTATTGTCTTTCAAGCAATTCATTCTGCAGAGAAGCAACCATTTTTCCAGTATTTTCTGACACATCTGAAATATGTTTCAAGTTTATCTCATCTGGTGTAACAGGCCTGAATTCTTCTTTTATTTCTGCAGATATTTCACTCCAAACCTCTCCAATCTGTGTGTGAAACATATACCATGAGATTCAGTATTTATCTCATTCTTCAGTTCCAATTATTCAAAATAAAATAGAGCAACCATCTCTCTCCTTATTGTTGACTTAGAATTTTTATGCAAGGTTAGACTGCACTACTACTATGTCAGATTCAGTCATGATAAGCCTCTCTAAGCCTTCCCAAATCCAAACTTGATTCAAAGAGGGGCAACAGGAATGCTGATAACTACAGAAATTCAGAAGAAATAGCTTCAAGATACCAATTTACAAGAGCAAAGTGTTGAGTCCTACTGCCTACTTCCTAAAATCTCAAATTGGAGACATTATTAGAGCAAACTGCAACACGAGCCATCAACAGAAGCTGGAATTATCAACCAAAGACTGTGTCTTGCTATTTCCTGAACACTGCAAGCTCTCACAGACTTTGTTCCTAAGCATAAATTTATCATAAACTAAAGCATTTTTTGAGCAAGGCAACTCTCAAAAAGCTTGCTACCCTGCTGTAGTCCCTATAGGCAGACCATTCTTAACTTTACACAGAATGGATGGATGGATGGATGGATGGATGGATGGATGGATGGATGGATGGATGGATGGATACTGCACGTGGAAACAAACATGGCAAAGCACAGAAGAAACTTTAGAAAAATGTGTTTTTAATGTAATTTTTAGTAGTGACCCCTTAAACTGACTTTACAGCGCAGGGACGCAGTCCTACTCTCCCATCCTTCCCCAATTTCTTACTCCTGGCACATTCCTGTCTTGATCTGACAAACAGTTAAAACTATTTTTTTCTGAGTTATTTTTTAACTAGCATTAGTTTCTAGTCTTGCTGCATGGTCACAAACATTTGTAGCAATATGAAGCAAGAAGATGGGGAATGATGGAATGTTGGAGGAGGGATTGCTTCTTTTGCTGGTGAATAGTGGTTTTCACTATGTGAAATTTTAGGTGACTTGTGACATAGGAGATGGCTTTTGAAGGGTTATTTGTTTGCTTTGTCCCGAGATATACTTGCTATTTTTGGGAATGCAGGTACAATAGTATTTTTTGCTTGGACTATACTCACTTTAAAGTCAATATAATGTTGTATAATAGTAAGTGTAACAAAATCCTTAGTAGATAGGCCAGGCAAATTTTCAAAACCTAAAAGAATATTAATCACATCAGTATGATGAATTTATCTTAAAATATTATATTCTAAAAACCTTATTTGTCATATAAACACATGCAACACTTCATCACACATACACCAGTCAATCACTTTTGATCCTGAACATTTTTTTGCTGATCAAAACCCCCTGTATCTCCATAATACACTCTCTCTGTACTAAAATCTTTACTTATGAATGGCTCTGTCTGCCTTCCAATCACTTGGTGGGCCAGGATGCTACACACCTGTGGTAAGAGCTTCATTTCTGTTAAAGCAGACAGACAGTTGAGTCTACTGATCACAGGTTCTAGAGCAGCAGTTCAGCTGACAAACTGCTCAAAACACAGTTTGCTTTAACTGTGAAGTAGCCAACAGGAAAATTATACTAGTGTTTTGTTCCAAAGCTGTGTAATGAGGGTGTCCCTCCATCTTGTAGATTATTATCTTCAGCATAATGCCTTGAGCATCATGACTCCATCTTTTGACAATGTTCCCAGTGCGTGTAAAAGAATAAGGTAGGGAAGTATGATTGCTGAGACTATTTTTTTTTTTTTTTTTGTGCACTGAATGATAACGGCACTTAATTTAAAAAAATCTAAATGTAGTCTATCCAATCTTTCTAGACTTCATCCTATCATCTGTGTGGTAACTGGGAAAGTAGCATCTGTCTAGAGTACAATTACATCCTGTTTTAAAGCTAAGAAATACTGTAAATAAAGACCATTTACCACTACTGATTTTCCAGATTGTCATGTTACAGGCTGTTATGGAGCTTAATAGTAAGAGGAAATTGCTGACAAAAATATGTCCATATGTTATTATCTACTTTCATATAATTCAGTACTTCACAGGAGGCAGTACAATGTATATAACTAACATGAAGGATATCTGTGAATACAGGAGAAAGCTGAAGGAAAATCTTATGCCTTTTTATTTTAGTAAAGAATCCAGTTGTGATCTAACATTCAATATAATTAACATTACTAAAATTAGTAAGAACCTGGGTTACAACAGAGGAGCAAGTAGCTATAGATTATTAGAAAAACTAAGGATGTTTTCAAACCAGCTCATTCTCCAGGTAAAGCAGAGAACTGGCTGAAGCAATCTCAGAACAATTACTGTTTATCTTTGAACTGCAGAGGATGGACATGAAAACAAAAATAAGCCTAAAAAACCCCATGAAAGAAATAATTAGATAAATAATGTTTATGCAGCTAAATATTAACAGTAAACCAAATTAATATCCAACATGAATTACTGAAAACTAAGACCCAACTTTTGTCTACAGACAGAAAAAAAAATCTCATGGATGTGGAAGAATTTATCACTTATCTTGATTTCAGTCTGGGTTTCAAGACAAGGATATAATGAATATTCCTGTTCAGTGTAAAAACAACAAAAAATTAAGAGGGACTGCCACACTTTGAAAGAAAATATTAAAATGCAAATTAATCTTGCCACTCTAAAAAGCTATCTAAAAACACAGAATTTAATTCAGTAAGGACAAATAGAAAATTCTAACTGTAGGACTAGCCACCTGTACAACATTCTAAGCTGGATGAGCAAATAGTATCATGCCACTAGGAATACAGCTATTGTTACATTTATGCCTGAATGTTTATTTACAAGATGTATAGAGTAACATAAGTCTATCTAGCTGTGAGGCTTCTGCTGGAGTATTTTGTTCAGCTTTGGGATACTACAGACCAAGAAGAATTTGATTCAATTGGAAAGAGTACAGAAAAAAAAAGAATAATTAGAGATTATGTTAGAAAATGCAATCAATGAGTATTATCTTTCTCAATCTAGAGAAATAAATGTACAAGTGCTAAAATATGTGAAAGAGATATTGTGTGTAGGAAAATAAATTGCAGAGAATTTCAAGCAAATTTTAGGTTTAGAAGAAAATTCTAAGAAAATTCTTCCTGGTAGGGGCAGCAAAGTAGTAGGGAACCTCTGAAATCCCAACAAAGAGGGACTTTTAAAAAAAACATAACAACCAAGCATCTATTAGAGAGTACTGATGCTGAATCACAATGTTACCTTTGACCTTGTTTTTTTACAGCAACTTTATTGATAAGTTCATTTTAATGACAAATATGACACTAACATAACAAGGCAACTCATTTTTCTTACCCAGCTTGCAAAATAATAAATAAACTTTTGCCCTTATGCTCTCTGAAATCTCCATGATGGCAAAAGTGGGACAGCTGGCAGGCAGTGGAATGACCTTTTGCTGTTTCTGGAAGCTGGTAGTAATAGGTCTCTTGGTGTCTAATACAAAAACACAAAACCAGAGTAGAACAATGAAGCAGTAGTATGTTCCCAAACTTAAGAGAAAATCCATCTTACTTTGTGGACACACAAATAATTTTGATTGTTTGGCCAAGAGTTTGAACATAATTTGGGTCAGGAAATTTTAATTAGCATAACTAAAAATTTGTGAGAACGGCACTCACTTCTTTTTACGACATAGAACAAAATACAATGCCTTTTGTGGAAGAAATTAAGCAGTTTAACTGTCTAGCATTAGAAAAGCTGGTCATGGTTCTGCTCAATACTTGGTTCATTCCCAGCTGATGTACAAAATGCCACATAGTGGCCAGAATAAAATGAAAATAAATGAATAAATAAAATGAAATAAAAAATTAATGAAATTGAAGATATTTTAGGTTTGGTAAGACTTATAGTGTAAAGTTATAAATGCTGTTATTTACTGTCATCAGAATTCAGACTAGAAAAGCAAATAATGTCATAATTTTACTGGACTGCTCACAGTTCCACAGGCATCATAAAACTTACCAATAATCATTCCACATTGATCACGTCTGATTCCCAAGTCCAGCTCCTCCTGTCTCCATAACTGTATTAGAAGGTTAGCTGCTGTTTGATCTCTCCTCCCTCGCCAGACACTCATGTGCAAAACCATTTTAGGGTTGTCAGAAAGTTCAACCAAGATTCCAAGAATTGTATTGCACAGGTTCTTTTCCTTTAACTTTATCAAGGACAAAGTAAAGAAAGTTTTAAAGTGTTCAAAACACAGTGATGTCTTCTTTCTGAGGAATTGTGTAGTATGTAATCAAGTAACTACAAGCTTTTCATCACTAGTATTTGCACAAAATTAATGTATAAGCTTGTAAATCCTTAAAGTTTCTGGAATCCTGCTATGCAAAGTTCCATAAATCAAGGAACATGAGGGCAGGATCATATAAGATACATTCCTGTGTGTAGAATCATACAGTAGATTCTGTGGACATGGCTCCACGATCATATGCTGGAGAATACACTGCTACCAAGGTTTATTGTTTTAAGAAACAGAACTCAGAAGGCAGAGGCTGAGCAGTACCTCACAGCACACCTTCGGTTTTGTGGCCAGATCTTTTGGCAGCAGGTGAGAGGAGGCAAGGGTTTCAAACTGAAAGAGGGTCAGTTTAGATTAAATATCAGGAAAAAATTCCTTCCTTTGAGGCTGATGAGGGACTGGTTGCCCAGAGAAGCTGTGGATGTCCCAGCCCTGAAGGCTGGATACAACAGGCTGGATGTAGTTTTAAGCAACCTCATCTAGTGGAATTTGGCCCTGGCCATGGCCAGGGGAGGTGGAACTGGATAATCTTTAAGGTCCCTTCCAGCTCAGGCCATTCTGATTCTGTTAGTTCTGAGTGTCTGCAGCCTTGCACTGCAACAACATCAGGGCTAACAGCACAACCAGTGTGAATGAGGAGTGAATGACCCACGGAAGGTGCCTTTTGACTTTGTGAGAGGTGAAATGACTGTGCCAGCTCCATGTCCAAGATCCACAGCAGTGGCTATACACACAAGATACATGTACAAAGTAACTTCAAACACATAAACTGTTAAAGCCATCAAGTGCTCTTACTAATTTCTGATATGAAGAACTGAAGTGCTTTTCTAAAGAGACACATCATGCAAACTGAGTGCATAGTTTGGGTTTTATTTTAAAAAATAATATCATTTTGTTGAATTAAAAACTCCTCTGTCAAATACATATTAAAAAAATATACAGGGAAAACCTATACAATAATTTCTGAGCAGATATTTGGGTCTGTTTCAGGGAATTAAATAAACTTGGGATTTTTTTGTTTGTGTTGGGTTTTTTGTTTTGTGGGATTTTTTTTTTTTAATTAGTTTTGTTTGGTTGTGTTTTTGTATTATACCAGTCTTTGGAGATACTGCAACAAAAATAACACAGTTTGCCATGTTGTTTTCCAATCCTTTCATTCTACAAAACCAGTAATAAAAATACCTACTGCCAACAAATCCAGAAGGAGAAAAATGCCCTGTTTTTCAATAAAAGAGTCCTCTGCAATGTAACATCCAATGACACAGGACCTTAAACAGAAATAATTTCACTTATGTAGATACACTTTTATGATTCGGAACATTCTACAATCATCTAATTTATTTTGCTGAATTTCATGCCATTTGGTATGCAATATGCAATATGCTTCATACCTTCAGGGAGTAGAAAAATCATGTTTCACACACCTTTTCATTTACACTTCTAAATATACCCTGCTTGACTGCTTTTTCTTCTCCTGTGGCAAGGTGGCACACCTTCCTTGAAGCAGCCTGATAAATTTGGCAGGCTCTCAATGAATTGGAGTATGTATTTGAACTGAAACTAACTCAGTAAACGAGTTTAAAATTTAACCAGGTTATGTCCCTAATCTGGTTTATTGTAGGGCTGTGTGAATATTTCTGCCAGCAAAAACAAGGGGGTGAGTCAAGCAAGACTTTTTTTGGCAACAGTTTGCTTCTCTCAGATTAAAATGATCATAAAGCCAGCATTCATGCTGCTGTTGTTTCTTTGTTTCCTCTGCTATGGTCATTAACAGAGAAACTAAAGCGAGCTCCTGTATCAGTATTTTCTCCTAGCAAACATATTTGATTTTTAATGTATTCATCAACCTCTGCCTTAAAACAAATTGATTTTTATTTTCCTTCTATGTACTGGCAATCTTTAAAATATTTCTAGCCCAAGATAGTCAGTTTACAAAACATATGTTTACAGATTTTTTGCTATTATTGGTCTGTTCTTGCCTGCTATTTACCTCTCTAAAGTTATTTACAGACTCTAACAATATGCCTTTCTTAGAAAGAGGCATATGAGTAACTCTGCATGTCAGGAGGTCACTCTGTGTGGGGAGTGAGGTTGCCACACTGAATCCGTATTTAGAAAATCTTACATGCAGTGTATATAATTTCTTTTGCATCAATTTTAACTAGTCAAATTTTATGAAGAATTTTTATACATTATAAACAGAAGAAAGTCCTATATGTGCAGAGAAAGGTCACAGCATTGCAGACCTAGAAATACAAGACTTGACATTTTACCAAGTTACTGCTGCTAAAATAGTTCACTAACCACAAGCAGTCGAGTGCACTGAGGAGGAGACAATTGTGGGATAATGCACAATATAATTTCCTTGGATCCATCTTAAAGAATGAGATGAGTATACCAACTCCTTCACAGCTGAAGAGTTCCTGTTGAAATGTTAATTAAAGCAATGTTTCTTAAGCCATATTTACTAAATTTAAACATGTAAGAAAATACAATGGAAAATGGGAAATGTAAATATTTCTATTGTAATGAATTGGGTCCACTTGTTAGAGCAGGATGTACACATAGGAAAGAAGATTTTCAGTTTTTTCGAAGTGCTAATTCATCTCTTAACACTCTTTCATATATTAATTTCAAAATAATGTAAATTAACAAATAGATTCAATACTTGCTAGTGGATTTCTGAGTGATTTATATTTTAGCTGGGTCAAGAAACATGACTTTTAAACAATGAACTACAATTGACACCTGCTTTTCAATTAAAACACAAAAAAGCAGCGTCCCTAAAAATAAAATATAGTATATTTTGACATTTTCTGCACAGTATAAGGTAGAAATATACATACCTTTCTGTGGACATCATTTTCACAGAGAACAGATAAAATAAATAATATGTCAGCTTGGATTTCCAGTAGAACGGTACCTTCTTTTTCTTTAGATTTGTCTGCTGCATACTTTAAGATGTCTGTAAATGGATATATTTTATATATATATGAATGACCCTATACAGATGTCAAAATTCTATTACAGCTGCTGCTTTTTACAAAACTCAAATTTATATTAAAGGATTTTTAAAGTAAGTTCAGTTTTATCTCCTGTGTTTAAATAATAGCTTCCAGAAGTGCAGCACTCTGATGCTGCAGTTTCATGGCCCTTACTCTTGGTGACAATGACAACAGCTTGCACTGACTTCTCCCTTGTTCAGACTCTGTGCTGCCCCTTATATTGTGTCAGTGTACGGAATTCAGGGAACTGATATGAATTAAGGAACTCTTAGAAAAAGACAACAAACTGGCTGGTTCACTCTACTCCACAGCTTCACAAATGTTTGAACTGACAGTGGAAATGTGGGAAAAACATGAAATACCACCATTTCTGAGAAAGTCAGCCTTGGAACCACTATGTGGAAGAGAGCATTCATACACAAATTCTCCCCTAGAGTAAAAGTTAATTGATTCTGATATGTAAGGTATAGTAATAGTTTTGCTTTCATTAAAATCTGCAGGTTTCCAGAGCTTTCACTGGAGTTGAAATGAGGCTATAAAGTATTTAGTTTCTAGGCTTTTTGTTAGAACATACTCTTTGAATTCCAAAGGATCTTTTCTGTTTTGTTTCCGTCAGAGTAGTGAAAACTTTCTGTTATTGTAAGAAAAACTTAAACCAGCTTGTTTTGGAACTTAAACCAAATTTAACAGAAGGTATGTGTTACTGAACAAGAAATGCTCTAAAATTGCAGGAGCAGTGATTAAGCAGTTTTATTCTGCTTTCTTCCTTCATGTTGTTCATATAAAGGTACCATGTTAATAGTTTTATTCTATGCTAAGAGGAGTTGTGGAAAGCAACACCATGATAGACCTAGGTGGAAAAATACTCATGGGCTGGAGTTTCTGGGGACTGCCACAATGAAAACAAGATCTACCAAATGCAGTAATGCGAAGTGAGAAGAGGCAGCTTTTGCTCTGAAATTAAACATCTAAACTTTTAAAACTGTCTTCTTTGCTTAACTCGTTCAATGTGTATTGAAATAGAAAAAGAAATAACATCAAATCAGTTACATTTTGGATTAATTGGTAGAGTTTTTTTTTAGTTTTTCAGCAGTCGAAGGACACACTAAATGCATGGCACACAGAAAGCATGAACATTCTCAGTGTCAACAGAAATGTACTAATTAAAGAACAGCAATACAAATTGTGCTTTACCCAGTAGCTGGCTAATTGCTCCCTGGTCACATAAATTAATGCTCACAGCATCATCATAGAGGGCCACAACAGATCTCAGAGCTCGGAGGCTGTAGCGCATTTGCGGGAGTTTGTTGCCACGACCACCTGTTCCATGGAAACTGCTACCTTGTCCAAAGAAAGGATCTGTGGAGCAATCACATTGAATACTAGTTTTGGCGGATAATCTATGTTCAGAATAATGTGCTCAGGAAAAATAAAAAGAAAACAAAACAAAACCCCAAAACATAACAACAACAAAAACCCCCAAACCCCATTGAAGTTAGAAATTATTCTTTAAAACCATCTAGTAATAAGCCTTTTTATGTAGAACTGCACTTTTTACATGCATAAAAAAGGTAACATTTTGGTGAACATTTAAAATTATTATACATTTTTTAACCTTACTGGGTTCATGAGTAGTTTTACAAACTCAAAATATATGTTTAGTATGACATTTAATCAAAACCTTTTGATCTCCATTCAACCCAAATAAAAATTTCTTAGGAATTTTCTTAGGAAACCTAGGAAGACATACCAATTTTATGATGAAAAATACCTATCCTTAGAAATCTGATCAATAAAACTGAGTACACATAGTTATATTTTTGCTTAGCCCATGCTCTTATCTGATGCCCAGAAGCCAGCTGTAATCTGGAACCTGTCTCACTATGTATGACTCTGAGTTAACATGTCCTGTCTTATGGCAGGAGTTCCTGCTTGGACTTCTTGCCTGGGAAGGGAAGGGCCTGGCTTACTTAAAACACAGAGAGTAGAGGTGTTTGTTGAAGGAATATCAGTACAGTGGTACACAGGGAGAGGGGCACCAGCTCATCTTTCAGCACAAAAAAAAAGATGGTTACTTTATTTTTTGGTTTTGGTTGTTTTTTCTTTCCTAGGAGTTCTATGAAAAAGAATCATTCTGACATCATGAGTTTTACATTTTCCTTTCCTGTCAAAGAAAGTAGGTTCAGTTGAATTGTTCTGAGGTTACCTGTGTATGAAAGCCATGAGTACCCACTGACCTTGGCCTACACACCATTCTAGAAACACAAGGAGAAGAGTATTCGCTTGGCAGGACAAATATTTGTCTACTAACACAGGAGCCACTGAAGCTAAAACAGCAAGTGCATGAAGCTGTAATTCTTCATATTGGGCAGCAGACCAGTCAGGAAATCCAGACTTTCGATTTTGTTTCACATAATAAAGCAAAGCTGGCATTACATGATTTTCACTGAGGAGCTGCAGAGTCCAGAAAAAGAAAAAGAGAGACAGTTTACAGGTTTCATATGCAAGTAAGAAAAATCTAAAGGGTGAGTCAACTCTATCTGCCCTACACCAGCAAAATTATATTTTTATTGAGAAAATATGTCATGAAGAGTACAAGTACAGGCAAATTTTATATTCTATAGCTTTCCCAGAGACTGTGGTTTGTTAAATTTTATTATGTTCTTCAGGTGTATTTCAATAATGCTCTGCAGTCACTTGTCAGGAATTTTCCTAGCGTGGTCTAAGTTCGTAACTTTCTAAAATAGAAATTGTAGGCTGCTTTCCAACAGCAGGGCTTGGTCTGAAGTTATGTATGAATTCTTGATTTGGAGAACAGATAATTTCAGTGTACTGAACTATGGCAGATGGACAGATAAGTAATAGTCTCGTGATTCTTTTGTCTTTTTTTTTTAATTATTATTTCTATTCTGTTACAACTTACCTGTGCAGCAGATGGGTCTCTAGAGAAGATCTGTAATACATTAAATAGTAACTTCTTCATCTCAAAATCCTCATATGAGTAGGTAAGTTTAAAACCCTTTACCAAGGGATTGGGAAGTTTAACTATGAAGAAAATGGTAGATAAGTTACAAAAAAACCTAATTAAAAGCAAAAAATTGTGTAATTATGCAGTATGGAATCTTACCTTCAGTACATGTTGCAAGTACTATTAAGACCTTTGCAAATCCACTTTCCTAAGAGGCATTCAAAAAACATACATTAATTAAATTGCAGTGAAATTAAGACTTATGATTTAATTTTGGCTTGACTTTTTTCTTCAGAACACAGAATTTAATGTATCCTGTGGCAGAATAAACAGAATTTTATCAAAGAAGAGAACAACCATTTGTACATTATACAACAATAACTAACTGCAGTCCTAAGGGTGCAATTAGTTAAACCCATGTTTCATTCACTACAAGTCTGAACTTCTGTGGGGACATCCCAAACACTTGCATTTACTACTATAGTCTAACACAGAAAAATATTCTCAGTGCTTTTAGAGCTGTTTTTTAAAATGCATTTGTTCATGTTTTACATCAGGGTCATCAGTGCATATAATTTTGTGGTATCAATTGTGCGTACCAATGCACTTCAAATTCAGTGCATTTACAAGTAAACATATGAAAACTGCGTGTATGGGCAAGAAGAATTTACCAACATCCCATATGAAATGTTCAGAAATAAAATCTTGTAAATCACAGCTCCTAGAGAGTTAACAGAAGGGCTATAATGTCTAATATAACTATGGATAGGACCAAAGCCAGAATGTGTCTACGCAGCACATTAGAGGCAAAGGGGTGTTGTTTCTGAGGTAAACAATTAGCAAACAAGTTTTTTTTTTCTAACACAGAGATAATAATAGCATTCAGAACTTTATAGGAATTTTACAGTTTGCTTGTGATGAGAAAACTTTTCCTTTTCAAAGGCTCAGACTCCTGTGCTGATTTGTGAACTGTATAAAATACAAGACTGACTTTTCTGGAGTTGCTTGGATAATATATTAAGAAGAAAAGGGAACATTCTGGAGGAAATTGCTCTAGTATTATATATAAGGCAGAATTATATGGTAATGTTAATGTTTTTTCTATCTGATATTTATACCTTGCAAAATCTCTAGGCAGGCTGAGAGTAAAGAACCTGAATTAAATTGTTTTAATATTTTCTTTTTATAGAAATAAATTTTCTTTATTTTAGTATAAGGAATTAAAGATGCATATCTGGTTTACTTATTCTGTAGGAATAAAATGCCCTGTTTCTACAGCCAGATAAACAATTTGAATGTTTTAGATATCCAATACGTTGCTGCAATAGCATAACAGATATTTCATATTAGTTGGTATTAAATGAAAAGCTTGAATGAAAAGTCTGTAATCTTCATTTAGTAATACAGCCAACTGGTAGACTTCTCTTCAAGCGGAAAGTAATATATTCCTGAACAGCCAATTGATCCACAGGGATCTGATTGCTTAATTATTCAGTATGTATGTCACAACTTCATTTGAAGTTGTAAATCTCAAGTGTAAAATGAGACTAAAGCAATATTAATGTCTATATAAAGTTGATTTCTCTGCAGGTGTCTCATAAAAATTCTGGAATATTACAAAAGAATGACTCATCTACATTTCAGACAAGTCACGGTAGTGCATTATGTGATGTAGTCTTTAAAAGAATTTATGTGTCTCTTATTAACAGGACCTAAGTAATTCTTTTCGCAGACTCTTACTTAGAGCACCTGAGCTGATTTTTGGACACCCTTCTTGTTCCCAGTTATGAGGCACACATTGAACTTGGGTCATCTGAATATAACCTACATCTTCAAACAACAAATGTGATTTAGTGCAAAACTCATTTTAGGAGAATGGCACATTCAAGAACCCATACAAGAATATGACAATTAATATAAAATTTTGCATAAATAATGTTAATGTGATTTTCTAAGTATTAAATAAGGTTGATGCTAGTATTCTGGGCTAATGACCTACAGATTTTATGTCTCTTTGAGGTAAAGACAACTGCAGAGCTAAAAAATATTTTCTTGTTCAGCAAATCCAAGAAAGAAAAAAAAAGCACTGTAGACACAGGAGAGAAAAAATATTAGAACCCTAATGGGGAAGAATACCAAGCTTATAAAAGCAAAGGAGAAGTTATTAGTCTCTGGAATACAACTCTAAATACTTACAATCATAGGTACTGCAGGGTTTTCAGCTAGTAATGTGGCAATCACCAAGAGGTCATTCCGTAGCTGGTGATCGCAGTGCTGGAAGCCACATGTGACATCTACAAATACTTCTTTCAAAGCACTTAGAAGAAAATGAAATGCATTTTACTTTTCCCTTTGATATTCTAATGTAGGACAGTTCTACATATATGAATCTTCATTCAGCGTCATACTTTTCAAAGCCTTAGGGTTAAACTACAAGAGAAATAACTTAAAACTTTATTATGAAGTGGATTATTTTGGGTACCACTAGGCATCCCATTTATTCATAGATGCAAGATGCATGCATTAAAAATTGCATCTTCCACTGTTTGTGTTATAATAATACAAAGACACAGTATTTACTCAGACATTGCTTAATGATTATTGAGAAGAAATAGTCTGATCTTAAATAGTTAAAACAGTCTAACTCACTAAGGAAGAACCTGTTATTTACTCCAGTAGAGGATCTAGAAATAAACCTTGTATATCATGGCATAGAAATTTCTTGTAATTTTGTAACATCAGCATTTCAACAGTGAAGGAATACTGGCCTGTTAAGCCTAATGTGGGAACTTCAAAATGCTGCAATTAACTCTTCTAATGTACAAAGCAATAGATAGAGCTATTCTTCCTGCATTATGCAGCAGAGCACCTTCTTCTTACCCTGTAACAGCAACTACTATGTTAATACTGAAAACTTAATGAGGATGCAATCAGAGATCCCTTTGCGTTTCTCTAAGTTAATTTCAAACAAAATGCTACACAACAGAATGCTCCAGATGTCTCCAAAATTACAAAATTAATTCATAAAATGCTCCCTGTACTTACTGTACACATTCCAAGCTTCTGAGCTGATTGACAACTTCTTCTTTTGAGGCTTTTTCTAGCAGGTTCCATAGGATATCTGAGGAGCGGAACACCAGCTGTCCTGAGGGGTCAGCACCATTAAGACACAAACAAAGCCTGCTGGCTGCTTGGGCCTTCACCATTTGTCCACAACTTATTTCTGAAATTATGTAAATCAGAGTAATTAATTCTCTATAGGTCAGTAATTGTTTCACACATGTTCAGAGAACAAATTATCTATAATCAATGGTAATGAGATTATTGAAAGAACAGTTTGTACTAACCAGAGGTGGAAAGATGCTGAAGAGCTTTAAGTACCCACAACTTCTCAGTAAGTTGATTTTCAACTAATGCTAGTGACAAAACAAGAGCTTCTGCTAATCCTCCTGCTTCAGCCATCTTGATTTTATAGATTGGACTTGTTGGCTGGTAACCTGCACATACACTAGCTTTAGTCGAAATGCAGTAAATACTCTGAATTTTGATTACTTCATAAAATGTTCATACATTTTAAAGAAAGGATTGAAAATCAAGTATCATATTTCAAGGAATTAAGAAAAACAATGCAATACACAAGAGCTGTTTTTAGTATATCTGAATAGTGCCTATAACATATACAACAGACTCATCCTCAAGCAGACTTCAATGCCATAGAAACAAATAACTTGCTTCTTAGAATTTAGATAATGAAAGCAAAAGCAGGGCTATAGAAGTGAAAAACTTTCTTCAGTCATCAGTAACCTAGCTCTCTTCAGTAGCCTGTTGACTAGAGAATTACTGCATTCTATCATCATATTACTTAAAATATTAAAATCAAAATCCAAACTTTGATTTACAAGCTTGACTTTCTAATGTGTCCCTATTTTTACTTCTGTCCAGACATATGCAAATATGTATTTCATTACTGAATTATGGGGAAGGTGAAGCACTGAGAAAATAAATGTGTATTTATTTTTATATTATGATAACTCATGAAAGCAAGTTTATCTTAAGCAGTTTAAATATATATATGTGTATATATATACACACACACATATATATCAAATGTCATAAAGTACAAGACTGATAAATACAGATAATGCACATGGTGACATGAGGTTTAACTAAGCGCACACTCTGATAGGCTCCAAGTTGATATTACTTTATAGATAAGAGAACTCTGTAGGGTCAGACTTTGGCAAGATTTACATATATGCTTAGAGATGAAATATTTGACTTAAGAAAAAAATCAGACTGAAACACATTCTTCATTTCAAGTTAATGTATCTTATTTTCTAAACTGGAAGAAGAAAAGCAAAATTGCTTGATAACATTCACTTATCCCGATGGAATTATTTACAGATACAGAACTAAATGCACACATAGCTACTTGCAGGATTTGAGTCTTGTTTGTAAGGTAAAAACAGATTTGGGTGCTTTCATATTTCTAGAATTTTGAAAGGGTTATAGTAGCAGCAGCTTCTTTAGGCCTCCTAAAATAAAACTTGTAAAAGGGCACAGGACTAGTGCCCCACTGCAGGAACACAGCAGGGGAGCACACTGACATCAAGCTCCCTGACCTGCACTCTTGAGCCACACTGTGGCAATATTCCCTTGAGGCTGGCTGCCTATAAATTCAGCAGTCTCAGAGCATGTGATGTTGTGTCCCTGTGGGAGGGGATCCATGACTGACTTCACCTGACAACAGTCTCTGGCACCATCATAAGAGTCAAAGGAATTATACAATAGTGCATTCTGATCATGCCTGAGTTCATGCATAGCCTCTTCCTGTAGAGATAAGTCACACCATTTCTTTAAACCTATGCTCAAATGTGTCCATGTAATATGAACTCAATCAAATTTACATGGTTTCAGATCTATCCCTCACAACACAAGTGACACCAGAGCTGCTTCTCTCCAGGCTACATATAAAAACCTGAAAACTACATTTCCCTTCTTATAATTTTGATCCTAAGTGCTTTTTTTTCCCCCTCCATTACCCACATTTCAGAGATCTTATATCACTTCACATTTTCTGGATGCCATTTAATGCCAATTTTGTAAGTGTAATAATTAATTCCTTGCTCATTGATGAGCTTATTTTATATTTAGAATATGCACCTCTCTAAAAACATGTTAATTATACATTTGACAATGTTATATATTTAATATATGAGATACAGTAACCATAGTTATAAAGAAAAATTAAACGATAGCTAATTAAAATAGGCATTTCAAAATAGTTGGGATCATTAAAAAAAAATTATCCTGCTTTACCTGAAAGTAGTTTTCCTGGTAACTCTGTATTATAAAAGTTAATAATACTCTTACAGATTTGTATTTTAACTTGAGAGCTTGGCACTCTCATCAAGTAACCTGTCAGAAAGTGAAATAAATGTAATTAACAGACTTTATAATTTTTTTAGAAAGTATTCTTAACACAATATTCTTCTTTTCACAGCACTTAGTATTACCTACAAATCTGTAATTTCATGCGAAGTTTCATTATAAGATATTCAAGAGGCAGAGACTCCCACACTGGAGAGGACAAAGGCATCTTAGAGGAGTAGCATAAGTTTAATCAAAGTTACCTTCTCTGCTTTATGGCTACAGACACTTACAAGGCACTGGATGTTGTTCCAGAAGTTGTGGAATTCTGAGGAAAGCTACTAAGCTACTACACCAAGCTGTTGCCATCACTACCATGTTATTAGAAACTCTTCTAAGTAGATATAAGATTAAATAAAGGAGCATAGAAGCAGGAAGCATACATATTCCTGGCATCCCAGGTTTCAGTGTTTACAGTGATACCCCAATTTCTCAGATCAAAATGAAATGAAACAGGCTAGATACACATTTACTTCTTCATCTGCACTGATAACATTTTTCTCATGTGGCTTTTGACATTGGCAAATAGGTAATTCTGCTAGCCAATCTTCAGGTTAGCTGCAGAGCAAAGTAAAAATTGTTTCTAATATGAAAAAGCACAGAGGATTGAATGAATAATTTAAAGAAACTACCTACATTTACTAAGGAGTAACAATAAATTACATTTGTGCTAATAATACAGTTGATTTTATTGTGGCATAATCATAATTTTATTGTGGCGTATCAGGTTACACTCACCCAGTTGTGCAATGGATTGTGAAACTTCATCTGAATAGTTTGCTTTATCAGAGAATTTCTTTTTTTGAAATGGTAACCTGCAAAATGAAATGTGAAAATAATGCAACTATGTTTTAATCAAGTCACCAGAAAAATTCATTAGGTGTTCTCTTCTTCCTTGCTAATTTTTTCAGATAAGGACACATTTTCTAGGGTGAATGCATTCTTTGCATAATCTGCAATTACATATTGGCAATTAGTGGTACATGTTCAGAGATACTATTTTCATAATTAAAATATGATGCAACAAGACATGCTGAATAAACAAATGTCATTTAAATGTGGAAGACTAAATCCTACAACATAGACACTATCAGGCTATTACAGAGATAGGCTATGTACACACATGTGCAGAGGTGGAAAAAAGGGATCATATCTCTGGGCAAGACCTCTTGAAATGGATAAAAGTAAACCAAATAAACTGACTCCAAATAGCACAACAACAAATTTATTTTTAAAAACAGGATATTAATAAATATTCAATAACATATTCAAAATACTCAGATATGACATAAACATGTAAGTGCTAAAAACTGTCTAACAGTAAACATTACAGTATTATCCTAAGGTCTCTGCAGCACATACTGTACAAGCAGCTTTCCAGTAGGTTTACCTCTCTAAACACTGCCAGAGAAAAAGAAAGGAGAGAAGAAACAACAGAGTAAATTCTGGGAGAGGCAGGGGAGGGAGAAACAAGACATTGAAAAAAAAAAAAGTGGGAAGAAGACAGGTAAACAGAAGCAGTTACAAAAGAATGGGATATTTTACTGGAGAAATTAATGTAGCTGAAACTTAATTCTAAAAAAAAAACCCAGGCCCTGCCTCTGGTTAAAGACTTCTCTGTCATATAAAGTAGTAGTGAATTGTGATGGAATTTCCATAGTACAGAAATTAAAGCAAAACCCAAAGGTGCAATTTTCTAACATATAATCACTGCAGAAGCCACAATTAGTGCTGAACTGCTCTAAAAGAGGAAAAGTCTCACAGCTACATTTTATCAACTTCATACACTCATGCTCAGTTTTGTTATGCTTCTAGCAAACAGCAGAGAAAATTAAACTCCATGATGTACCTCCTCACTCCCCACAGTGTGGCAGCAAAGAAAAGCAGTACATCTCAGAGTGCTTAGGGAACTAAAAGATTCAGCTGGCAAGTTCTGTGTTTATTAAACATAACAGCTGACAGGAACCTATGTAAAAATTTACCTGAATATCTGTTTTATTATGCCACTAGTTTTCTATCTGGTGGTTTGTTTTGTTTTTTTTTTTTTTCTCTTCCTCATTCTCCTCAAATGAAATTAAATACAGGAGTAACTGTAGCTACAAGCACACCATAAATAACTTTACTGAATTATTGAGGAGGAGAAAACTACTGAGAAGTGTGGGTAACACCTAAATTCTATTCTACTGATTATTCAAAATATGGTGACAACAAAGATGCCCAAAAGTTCATGCAATACATTTTTAAACTAAATATAAATCCTAAATCCTTTAGCGGTTCATTCTCTCCTGTAATATGGCTTGTCATTTTGTAATGCTTACCTTCAGGTATTAGAATGTCTTTGTGTCACCCTAAGTTTTTAAATTCACTTAAGATCTTGTCTGGAACAGCAAAACACACCTCAGTACCACATAGCTGCTGAATCTTTTGAGGCCAGCAGTCCCAGACTGACTTAGGCAGTAAGAGACCTTGGGGAACCTTGCTTTCAATCAAGCTGGGGCCAAGTCCAACACAGTTTTGAATTATGTAACATGGAAGTGCACAGCTACTGAACTGCTAAAATAGGTTCCTCATTCATGTCACCAGAAACTGGACACAAGTAAAAGACAGCTGATGAAAAGAAGGATGATAAAATGGATACATTGCAGATATAGGTGCTTTGTAGATAAATGCTGTATGGATATGTCACTCGCCTTAGAAAACCTGTTAATAAAAAGTATTTAAATCTCTAAAAAAGGGGCTGAGGTACTTACTCAAACAATTTAATAAGTTCACATAAAGGCTCAGTGAAAGCTTCTTGTTCATTCATTTTTTCTGCACACAGGTTAAGAATTTCAGTGATTTGTGCTACATCCTTAAGGGGCTTTTCAGGTGAAATTAAGGAAATCAGATCATCTGTACCACTATGAATCAGAAGAAAAAGCTGAAAACTGTGATCATCACACTTCAGAGACACAGCCAACAAAAAATAAGACCAATGTTTACAAAGTTAGGTGTTTAAAGGAAGTATGTGAGTCAATACTTAAGCAGCTTTATTTTTAAATATGTACAACTTCTGCAAAACTGATTTAGGTGTCTTCTCAGCTGAACTCACTAGAAGCTCAGCACTAAATTTCTAAAAATGGGGGATGAAACGTTTTTAGATCACAATGTCAGATTTACCTATCTAAATTCTGAGACAGACTTGTGATATTTCAATTGTTTTCTCCTCTAGTCCCAAGTGACTAACTGAAATTTGAAAATCTGGACCAAAATACATACTGAGATTATTTAATTTAAGGGTAGAGGCAAAAAATCAAAGCCGAACAGAGAACTGAGACTGAGAAGTTGCTACCAATCCACAGACTCACAGAAACTGCCTTTAAGTACACAACTCAGTTGTAATGTGATGCCTTAAATCACTGTGCAAATTATCTGAACTGTATGAAATTAATAACATTTTTCCACATGCCAACACCCTCCTTAGTACTTCTCATTACTGGAACATTTCAGTTTGTACTGTACAGATAAATTAGCCTGACTTCATTTTTCCTTAAAATGTTTCCTTACTGGAAGTCTATTTTATCTTGCAATTTTATCTGCTGTTTCTTAAGCAGTGGCAATTATTATGCTTTTCTATTCTGAGTTTAAAGTACACCAGTTACATTTTTGGACACTTTCAGCCACTGTGCAGGTGAGAACTCTCTACTGAATTTTATGACAAATTAATCTAATATCCAAGAATCTTGCCAGCTTACCAACCTTGGCTGTGTGCACACAAGGAGGCCAGTGATGAGAATGTATATGGTCATCCCTATTCTCCACAGGGAAGCACAGTACAGCATCAAATACTTTACTGAAAAGTTAGACTATTACCATACATAAAACACCATGACTTCAGAATTCTAGAGTGGCAAAAAGGATACAAGTCCATTTTCAAAATGCTTGACTACCTTCTTGAGAGTTTTCAGCTGCTCTTTTTCCAAATCTTTCTTAAGTAAAAGAATGAAAAGCAGGTTTTAATTGTAGCTTTTGCCCTAGAACCTTAAATGATTATGTTTATCCCCTTTTAAGTTTAGATGAAATTGGAAATCAGATTTAAAAGTTTACAAGACACAGCAACATTCTCAAAGTGCTTTGAAGCACGATTAACTCCATGATGAAGCCTCATTTCTAAGTATGAAGTCTGTTCTCTTGTAACTGAAGAGGCTTTCAAAAACACCTGTTCAAACGTGTTGACTCTTTCTCTTAAATTCTTTGTGATTCTTTGTAAAACAACTAAGAAAACAAAACCTATGTCACACACAACATAAATGTGGAAACATGTAGATCTAAGTGGCTTAGAGTGTTCTGCACCACTAGGAAACAGCCTTCAAACTGAAAACTGAAAACAACTGAAGTGAGGACATGTTAGGCTGTCTCAGTGATGTGCAGCGCTCATTTCAGCTCTCCTGAGCACCTGCAACTTGAGGCAGGCCAGGAAGTTGTTTCAGGAGTCTACAAGCCCAGAATCCTATAGGCATTTTATCATATATCTTATGCTCTCTACAGAAGCAGTAAACAATATCATCTGGCACTTTTTTCTTCAGTCAGTATGTTTATTCTATCAGCTCTGTATTAAAAAAAGGTAAGAGGGGAAGATATAACTACTTCTCTGTGGGGCATTAATTTAAAATGTGCTAGATTTAATCAGTTCTTTGTTTAAGAGCATAAATTACCCATATTTTGGATCAAAATTATTTGATGTCTTAGTAAGTTTAATCTGCCAAATCACCTTGTGGAGACTAAAAATCATCTGTGAAAGCCCATCAGATGACAATTCTCCTGTGTGCATAAATAGTTGTAGTTATTCTTCAACATTAACCTTTGTATATTTCACCTTCATTTAAATTCATCTCCCTGGAGAACTGTTAGCAGTTAACTTGGGCAATTACATGAATTCATTACATACTTCCAATAAGGTTGTATGTATATCTATTTCCCAGCTATAGGTTTCAGTACTCTAAAATTCTCCAATATGCTAGAAATTCTGCATGTCTAGTTTTTGAATGCTCATGCTTTTGTCTTTTTTAAAGTTCCTGTGTGATCTTCTCTTCCTCTATGTATTTTTTTTAATATAAGCCCGTAATTGACACATATTTTTTTCAGTAACAATGATCATCTTTAGAAGCATTCAAATACAAGAAGTACTCATCTTTGTGCTCTGTAGCTCCAGCTACCTCTGTTGGATATAATAAACCCTTCTGAGTTTATTCAGGGCGGGTGCTAAAGTAACTGTATAAAGACATTGTCAAAACCCCATTACCAACTGTGTAACAGAGATAGTGAGGTACCAGGGTTACTTACTGAGCCCGAATCTTTCAGTAGTGCGATGACGTGATTCAAATCCACTGACCTCGACTGTGTATCCTGAAAACGCAACACTTTTAACCTTTTTTTTTTTTTTTTTTTTCAATTTTAAATTTTTTTTTTTATGTTTTTTAAAATGTGAAATAGCTGCGTGAAACGAACATGGATTTACTCAGGGACGGGTAAATTCAAGCCGCGTGCGGAGCACACATCAGGGTTGCTCTCAGCCCGAGAAAGACGGCAGGAGCAGGGGCAGGGG